GATTGCTCATGACTTTTAAAACTTTTTTTTACATATATATTGATATCTAATACAAACATAATTAAAATATGCTAGCTTTTGTTTTTAAATGTCACAATGTCATTCATTTTCTAACTGAAATGAGAAAATATTGGGGTTTTATTAGTTTTATTGCCTGGTTTGACTTTCTGTGTTCATTGATGACATTGCAGACTTCCATTATTGAGAAATTATGCGGGAGTAGGCAAGAATCACCTAAAGAAAAGGCCATGAAATTATATGAAATAATATTAAGGAGTAAATTTGATGTCCAGTGTGTTCCAACATCTTTGATAGGATAGGACTTTCTAAATGGCCTCAGTTTCCAAGGGAATCTGCTGAAGGGAGTAATATTTGGTCTCTAAGAGAGACCCTCTGATTTATTTACTAGTATTTCTTGAATTAAAAGCTGAGAATCTCAAAATGTCCTAACAAATAGAGGGAGCTCCATCCTTCTGGAAGTCTATGGGAGCAGTTCATAAGATGTCACACTTCCGTAACCCCTAAGCAAGCCTTGCTTCATCATTTGGCAAAAGGTTAATTGCCTCCTCAAGAAGGAGGCAATCACTCATGAGGCTGTAAATCCCTGAAGGATGGGAAGCGTCTGAGAAAATCCTGCCCTGCGAAACCAGTCCTGCACTAATTTATAGAAGAACTGCCTTTGATTTCAGCCTTGTTTTTCACCTACTATCAAGCTTTCCCTTTCTCCTTCACTCTTCTGTATGACTTCTGGCAGTGGCTTGACTTGAAAATGAGTTATTGAGAATTACTTGTATACGGTCTTATTGTTTTTCTTAACTTCTCAGGTGTTGGTCTACAAATTCCTTTCTGTTGCTCTTTCTGCATACAGCTGGGAGGTAGACATAAGATTGCAAAGGATTTAGGGCCATTAAGCCTGTCTGTGCTCTAAAGACATTCTGCTTTTTCTCTGAGAGGAAAACTTTCCTCCATTTGTTGAGGAAGCCCCTAAGGAAGAGCAGGACCTGCATGAAAACAGGGTTCTGAAGTTCTGCAGTAGAGATCACTTGTTGACACAAGTCACAGGCAAGTGTTTGCAGCTGTTTCACTTGGCCTTCATTTAGCTGCAGCCTCTGAGGCACATGGGCATGTTGATGCCTGTCTGAATCTCCGATTTCTAGACAGCAATATGTCTTTCTGCTTGTCACTGTCCATGGGGACCAAGAGAGCAGGGAGCTTCCTTCATGTCAGAAAGCTTTTGTGTCTTGCTGTTCTTCATACACAAGAGCTCCTAAAATACCTGTACTCATATTTTTGATGCCATAAAGCTCTATTACTGCAGTAGGATTAGCCTTTAAATACTCAACCATGTTGCAGAATGCAAAGAACCTTCCTTTTTTAATTATTGCATAAATTAAATCTTTCCATTCTCAGGAAGCCACTCGGAATTCCTCTCTGCTAGAGGATTCACTGTAAGGATTTGTTACCTATTATAATACAGGATTTTCCAACTGAAAATCACCACCCCTCCATAAGAAGTCAACATGTTACAGCTCTGATGGTTGTCCCCAGCGTGTAAGCCCTCCCAGACCTTAGTACTTGCTCTCACTTGGATTACGTGCACCCTCAAAATGTGACCTACAGAGATGCCCAAGTGACAGAGAAGAAAGTCATGCTCAAACAGCCAGGCTTCTTAGCTTACCTTTTTGGCAGAAGTAGCAGTGATGGTCCCAGAAAGGGGAGATGGCAGCATGAGGATGAAGTGACAGTGAGGGCAGGACTATGGGCCCTCCATAGTCCTCCATTTTGTTTGTAGTAACGAAATAGCAGAAGCTATACATGAGGGAAAGGGTTAGACCATGGCAACAGACATTAGGTATATTCTCAAATTGTTTTTGTCACTGCCTGGATGGTAACAGCAGTAAATTCTTTACACATTTGACAAAAACTTATTCTCCTTTTGCTATGATACAGGAAGATCTGTACAGGAGACTACTTGTTATATTCCGCTAATTTTCTTGATAGCATGAATACTTTGCTAAGAACTAACTCAGTCCAACCTTGTTTATTTAAGGAAGACATAGTCCTGAATAAAGAAATCAATAACAACTTCAACATTGTGATCCCACTGAATAAAATCAGTGCACTGTCAAAGCTAGTGGGAACATTGCTTTGGCTTGGGTGGGAGCAGGGAGTGACAGGGACAGGCAGAAGCTGTTTAAAATATTTTGTTCTCAAATTGCTACTTTTTTGCAGATTTTCAGCTGATGTAAATTGGGATAACTGCAGTGAAGTTACACATCTTGGTTATGGAAACTGAACTTCTTATGCTTTGATTCTCAGGCTGTACCTATTCGTGTACTTAATTCAGGGTCTGGTTAAAAGTTTTGCTAATGTGACATCTTTCAAAGTGCAGAATTTTGAACGTTTCTTCTTCTAATTGTTTTTCTTTCAAAACAGTTTCATCCACAGTCACTTATTTATGAAAGAAGTATTTCCCTATGCAGCTCTGGTTACACATTTTTAGACATCTGAAATAATCTTTTGTTGGCACAAAAGAAGAGGAAAAAAAAATGCACAAAGCATTGTGTTACTTAAGAAAATAATTTAATCTTTACCTTTGTGCTCTCATGAAAGCTACAGATCGTAAAAGTTCTACTAGACTCAAGTAGCATTGCCAGTTTAAATGCTCAAATTGCCTTTAGCTACCGGGTCATCCGCACTAGACATCAAAGTTCAGGTTTGATATCACGTATGCAAGTTACTAGTCACAACCTGCCAATTGCATTAACATATCCTATTTTACAGGAAAATAACTTTTATCTTGTTTATCGGTGAGACTTCATTTCAGAAAAACTCATAGCCATTGGGTTTGGTCACTACTTGCATAGCTCCACATTCACATCACCTCAGGAACAGCTGCATTTTAAATTCTCTCTCCCTCTGAGCTGTACCCACTTAAATATTCGTGCATTTTAGTTCAGAGACAAAGCTCTGAATGACTGACATTTAATAATATTTTTTTTTTAATTAAAAAAAAATCCCAGATCAGGCACAAAAAGCACAAGGTGATTTTAAACCAGCTCTGCTGCTAATGTAGTATTAATACAGAGTTCTGCCCAAATTTCTATCATGCTGCTGTCCTGATGGGTTCTCGGGACAGCTGTGATCATGGGAGGGGGTTTCTGCCAATATTTCACATAGCTATGGAGAGCAGAAATGGAGCCAGGACGTTCTGGAAGTATTAACTCGTATTTTGGAGGGCAGGGGGAGGGTGACATTTTTTCCCCTCCTTACTTTCACACAATCAGAAAAAATTGTGTTAGTGGTAGGAAACTGGGAATGCTATCAGGAATTTTAAGGAATATACAGGACTGGTGTATTGGATGCCTGAAATTCCTCTCCCCAGACCAAGGTGCCCTTTTTTTATTCTTAGAGGGATAAAGTGAGAAGAAAGAGGAGTCACCCGTGTGCAAAGAGAAGGTCAGCAAAAGATGGGAGACTCAGCAGTCGCGCTTGAACACCTATGAGAAGAATTAATATTTAACTTTACCCCAGTGTTCCCACAGTGCTCCTGTGGTTAGAGAAAGTACCATTGGGATAAGAAGAGCATTTAATCTTTAAAGAGAGTTTGACATCTTTTAATCTTTAAACCTCATCAGGCCTCATTAGTTATTTGATCAACTAGGAAACTGAGTTGCACCAAAAAAAGCTGGAAAAGAACACATATACATTATTCAGGCCTGCTAAAACAGGAACACTTTACAAAGCAAAGCAAACCTTTCAGGAAGTTTGGGGAGGGCAGATTGCTCATTTTAAACTGGCCATTAACCCACGTTTTAACAATGTAGATTTGTGATCAAATGTTTTTGACCAGTGTCGCATGGAGAAGCTTTGTTCTACTCGGAGAACTTGGCTTTAGCTCATAGGATTTTGAGGAAGTTTTCTTTGGAAGTGTTTTAGAGTGTGTGTGGAGGGGAGGAAGGGAAGGAGAAATCAATTTCTTTAGAGACAGGCATCCAAAAAAAGTCGTTGTTCAAAGTAAGCGTCATTATGAGTCAGCAGGACCAAAGAAATGAGATAGTCTCTGCAATCCCAGCTGTTAGGTTTCTCTTCCCCATCCCTCAGGAGCTCAGCCCCAGAGGGGTGCAATGTGTGCATATTTAAATATATATATATTTAAATGGGGTGCAATGTGTGCATAAGGCTGATTTATCAACGCAGCTATGCAGTTACATCATTTTTCCCAGATCGCAGCATACTTGGATCCCGCCCTGTGAGCACTGGAGCGGGAAGCTTTTACAGTTGTGTTTTGTTGGACTCCCTTATACAAAAGCGTTCCAGGAACAGGGTGTTCAAAACTCAATCCCTGTGCATGCCAGTGGCTTCTACCCAGAAGTCAAGGGAGGTTAATGACTAAACAAGCTGCATTATACACTGTGGCAGCAATCTCATCTCTAGGAACAGCTAAAGCTCTTTTCTTTATCCTCACATTAACATTAACCTCCCAAGGCTGGAGTTTGTGAGCATCTTTTTCTCTCTTTTCTTTTGTGTTCCTCACAGATCATTTTCAGGTGTATGTGACTTGATGAAACAAATAATAATGAAATAAAGTTCTCCCTGGGATGAGAGCAAAATTTAGGGAGAGGTATACCTGTGTGGGACACTCCAGCTGTATTAGAACATGTTTCCAGGGGTACAGTGTCTCTTTCTTCCCTGAGGTAACTTCAATAACATAATGTAGAATTACAATCAAAGATAAATAATAAAGTGATCTGAGAGTTCACGAAAGCTTCAGGATCTACAACCAAGGACAGTGGCCTTACATTCATCCATTCAAAACCTACAGAACAGTGAAAGATAAGAAAATGCACTAATATGTGGTTCCTGGAGTGCACAATAAAAGCAGGCAAAATAATTGTTCTTTGTAGAACTCATGCCTTGTACGCTAATTTTCTTATCTGTGTCTCTGATGCCATGTGCGTTACAAAAGATGTTCTGTCCTCTTGTTTTCAGGTAATGACAGTTGAGGATGGCAGCCCCCTGGCGAATATGCTGCAATAAAAAATCCAAAACTAAGAATGGAAAAGCTGAAATGGACAATATGGCAGACACAAGTGAAAAAATGCAGATGAAAAAAGAAATCACGTTACTAAATGGAGTTTCTTTAATTGTAGGGAACATGATTGGCTCTGGGATATTTGTATCACCCAGAGGGGTTTTAATGTACAGTGCTTCCTATGGACTCTCTCTAGTCATCTGGGCGCTTGGCGGAATGTTTTCGCTGTTTGGAGCTTTGTGTTATGCTGAATTGGGAACATTCATCGTTAAATCTGGAGGCAGTTATGCCTATATCCTGGAAGCATTTGGTGCCTTTGTGGCCTTCATCAGACTGTGGTCTTCCTTGCTAATTATTGAACCAACAACCCAGGCAGTGATAGCAATCACGTTTGCTAACTACATTGTTCAACCAATTTTTCCTCATTGTGAGCCACCGTATGATGCAGTCAGGTTGATTGCAGCTGCTTGTATTTGTAAGTAAACTTATGATTCCTAGAAGTTAAGAACTATAACTGTGGGTGCTCAGAGAGATTTTTCTGAATTTCTATTCCTTCATCTTCTGTGAAAATAATTATTGCCTCTCTAAATCACATTCTTAAGAACTAATAATCTTTTCTTGAGATGGATTTTAATTGGGGCTGGGATTATTAGAGAGAAAAGGAGAATTACAACAATTTGGCTGGGGGAAACTATGACTGCTGGTTAAAGGTACATACATCCCTATGGATCATTGGCCTGATTTGTAGCCCACATTTGGTCCATGCCCTCTCTCCCCTATTTCTTGCAAATCATAAAAGATGAACAAAGATCTTAAAATTCTTCTAGGTTTAAAAATACTCTGCCTAATATGAGTATTGTCTCTAGAAAAATTGTGTAGTGTAATCAGACACTCCGCAGAGTTGACTTTGCTGTGACTGTGTGTCATGGGCGAACAGTGTTCACACAGTGATGTGTTACATATCTGTCCTCCAGTGAACGAACTCCGCTCAGATTCTTTTCCTTATAAATGATCTTTCCTTATAAATGATACTGTAACCCTTTCCTTATAAATGATCTTTTTAAAATGGCTTAAATTGGATAACTCAACAAAAGCTTCCAAAAGGATAAGTAATTTTAACTTAATATAATGTATACTGACAATTCTGAGAAGGTGTTTTGTCTGTAGCCCTGACTCTTGCCACTGTGATGCAAAGGAAATTCACTTTTGAAAAAGGCTCCATGGCAGAACTTGAGACCATCATGACCACTCAGCAGTCTAAAAGGCAACTAAGCCTACTCCAAAAGACTTTGTCAGCTGAAATTCTCCACTTGTTCAGGAAAGCAGTTATTTATTAGAACAAAATTTGTTTTCCCGATATTCTAGATGCACCTCATGAAATCCTAACACTTCAGAGAAGCAGTCTTCAAATGCTGATGTGTCTCTAAGCCTTCTTTTTCTTAGTTACTCTTGCTGTAGTCTTCATGTGAATCAGCTGCGTGCTCTAGCACCTCTGATTTCTGGGCTGCTGCCCCAGGTGTGGCTGGCAGCTGCTGCTCTCCCATATAGCAAATTAGCTGACTAGGCTTAGCATTTTGAGTAACAGCCCAGATTGCAGGGGGAATTACGTTGTATTATATTAACAGTGATATGCAATTTAGCAGCGTCAGATAGTAAATTTATTCCTAATGTGAACAATTTTGATAAGGCTCAGGACCATGGATTTAATTGGCACTTCACCAACATAGGGGAGAGAGCTTATTTAAATATATACATATATTTAAATGAATTTACTGGGAATTCCATGGCAAGATCCCATTGCCTTGAATTTAATTACACTCTGCAGCACATGATAGATGTTATGTGTCATATACACATGCAGTAAACGTATCCTTTGCAGTGTTTCAAATAGCACTTTATAGCATCACAGATGACTCCTAAATGTTCAGTACGAAAAACTTCAGTCAACACTAACTTTACAACAATTACTGATATATACTAGTGTACTTTTAAGGAAGAGGTATGTGGTTAAGTTCTACTAAGGAGATTTTTTTAAACTATAGAGCATAAAATCTTATTTCAATGTATATGCCACATTTACTAGCACAATGTTTAAAGAATGCATTATTTACAGACAGGTTTAAAATTATATTCAAACCTGACACTAGGCATGAACAATCATTATATAACCTTTGGGGTTTTTTTTAATACCAGAATAAAAACAAAATTCTATCTCCATTACACAAAATTGACATATCAATAGGAAATAGTGGGGGCAAGTCAGGTCCCATTTCTGTAAATAGGTCTCTTATTACCTTGACAGCTGACAGGACCGCTCTGTCAAATATGCAGAGCCATACATGATAATGAAGGCAAGAAGTTCTGTGACCATCTGTAGTTGGATGCTAATTTCCTTACTATATAGAAAGGTTTCTAAATGGTTTTCACTTTAAGCATTACAAAACCCTTTTTCTTCCTTTCAAGACTGAAGTGTAGATTATAGGCAGGTCAAAGAAACAGAAGGAAAGACCAACAAGACTGCTAGAGAAGAAATAGCCCATTCTGGTCCATGCTTGAGAGTGCTCTGGACCACCCATGCCGCATTTATCTCACTGTCTTCTCCAGCAGCTGGGCTTCCTACCTGGTACCCTTCCCTTCTCTCCCCTCCTCTCCCCTCCCCTTCCTTCCCCCCCTGTTTTGAATTAGGGACATGCAAGACAGATACGTTGCCCATGATGCTTTGTCCGTGTGTGCTAGAGTGAGAGGAGGTGGGCACGCGGCTCAGCCCCTGGCTGGACCTGCTACCAGCCGAGCAGCAGCATTCGTCACAGTACTTTATCTGCTCATGGGGGTTTAACTTCTGCAACAAAACTGAATGCAAAGAATATGGCAGAAGGAGGAAAGGAGAACTGATTGATCCCACCCACTCTCTGCAACCACACTACTTTGTTATTTCTATCAGATTCTGACAAAATCGAGGCTTGAGAGAACTCTGTAAGTACTTCTGTAATCTTCAGATTGGGGTCAAAGCATGAATGGCACAGCTCCTAAGCCATGGGCACAGAATAACAGCATGCTGGCCTGGCTCAATTCAGTATCTTGTCAACTGCATCCAGACTTTTTGGTGTAGAAGCTGTCCTTACTCTGTACATAGAGTCTCTGCCTCAAATCAGCAGAGAGAACTTCACGAAAAACTTCAGTGCAAATAAAAGATTTAGAGAAAACTCATCTTCTGCATGTGAGCAACTCTGCTGGCTTTAATAAAATTTAAAGATTATTCTAAAAGATCAGGAGTTAGTCCTAAAATTCAAAATTTGATGTGTTTTTTTACCTTACCTGGTGTCATGAAAACAGTATCCTCCAAAAAACTATTGTGTAGCTTTTAAATTGGGTATTTCATTCATTTTAATAAATCTAGGTGGAATTTGATTGTTTTATTTCTTGAAAGAGGGGTGGTATCTGGAAGGATGTATTTAAAATGTGCCTTATGTGATATAAAATATCAGTGGTCCTCTCATGTATATTCTTTTTCTCTACAGGTTCCTTAACATTTATTAATTGTGTTAATGTGAAGTGGGGAACCCGTGTACAAGATGTTTTCACATATGCAAAAGTTATGGCTCTTATCTTGGTGATATCTGTTGGCCTTTACAAAATTGGTAAAGGTAAGAATATTTTTCATTTGCTTAAATTCTTAAAAATGAACCATATATGATTTTCAAAATCTCTGCAGGAAGATCAGACTTCTTAAGACTTACATATGAAGTGTCATTTATTCTGGAAAAAACTGCCTGTTATAGGAATATCAGAGGAATTTTATGGCATGTTAAGAAATGGGGGTTTAATTATTCTTCTACGCTTAGAGTGGTAAACCAACACACGCCAAGCTACATGTTTCTCCAACTGAATAGCAAATAGTAGCTGAATTAACATCAATTTAGTGCTAACTAGTTTAAAGTCAACCTCACTGTCTCTGCCTCATGCTTATTAAAGGCTAGTGTTGCTACTTGTCCTATGACAGGAAGGCACAGCAGAAATTGCTGGATGCATCCTTCGCCTCGCTCCTTACCCCTCCTCTCCCTGCCCTGCCTGTGGCAGACAGCCACCGCAACTCCCGTGAGGGGAAAGGATCAGGGATGGAGGAACTCGTCGTTTCCTTCATTGGTGAGAGGGCGTGCTTGTTCCTAGAGACTCCTAGGTCTGCTACAGGCCACCCCACCAAGAAGACCGAGTGGATGAAGCCCTCTATAGACAGAGAGAGGCGGCATCACGTCCACAGACCCTGGTTCTCATGGGCGACTTCAACCACCCTGACATCTGTTGGTAGGGTAACACAGCCAGGCATAGGCTATCCAGGAGGTTCTTGGATTGCATTGATGACAACTTCCTTCTCCAAGTGGTTGAGGAGCCAAGAAGGAGAGGAGCTATGCTGGACCTTGTTCTTACCAAAAAGGAGGGGCTGGTAGACAGTGTCAAACTCAAGGGTAGCCTGGGCTGTAGTGACCATGAAATGGTCGAGTTTGAGATCCACGAGGCAGCGAGGAAGGTGTGCAGCAGGCTGACCACCCTGGACTTTGGGAGAGCTGACTTTGGCCCCTTGAAGAAGCTGCTTGGTATGGTGCCATGGGATGAAGCACTGGAGGGAAGAGGGGCCCAAGAAAGTTGGCTAATATTCAAGGATTACTTCCTCCAAGCTCAGGACCAATGCATCCCTACAAAGAGGAAGGCAGGCAGAAAAGCCAGGAGGCCTGCGTGGATGAACAAGGAGCTCCTGGACATAACCAAAAGGAAAAGGGAGGCCTATAGGGAGTGGAAACAGGGGCAGGTAGCCTGGGAGGAATATTGAGGAATTGTTCGAGCAGCCAGGGATCGTGATAGACAAGCTAAAGCCCAGACGGAACTCAGTCTGTCCAGGGACATTAAGACAAACAAAAAAAACTTCCTTAAGTATGTCAGCGAGAAAAGAAAGACTAGGGAAAATATGGGCCCTCTCCGGAAGGAAATGGAAGAACTGGTTACCTGGGACAGAGACAGAGCTGAGGTACTTAATGACTTTTTTGCCTCAGTCTTCACTGGCAAGGACTGCAGCCACACTGCCCATGACACAGAATGCAAAGGCAAGGATTGGGAAAGTGAAGAACCGCCCACTGTAGGTGAAGATCAAGTGCAAGACCACCTGAGGAACCTCAGGTCCATAGGACCTGATGAGATACATCCACGGGTCCTGAGGGAACTGGCAGATGAATTTGCTAAGCCACTAGCCATCATATTTGAGAAGTCGTGGCAGTCTGGCGAGGTTCCTGCCAACTGGAAAAGGGGAAACATTACCCCTATTTTCAAAAAGGGAAATAAGGAAAACCCGGGGAACTACAGGCCAGTCAGTCTTACTTCTGTGCCTGGCAAGATCATGGAGCAGATCCTCCTGGAAACTCTGCTGAGGCACATGGAAAATAAGGAGGTGATTGGTGACAGCCAGCATGGCTTCACCAAGGGCAAGTCATGCCTGACAAATTTGGTGGCCTTCTATGAAGAGGTTACAGCAGCAGTGGACAAGGGAAGATCAACTGATGTCATCTACCTGGACTTTTGCAAAGCGTTTGACGCTGTCCCACACGACATCCTGGTCTCTAAATTGAAGAGACATGGATTCGATAAATGGACCACTTGGTGGATAAAGAACTGGCTGGACAGTCGCACTCAAAGAGTTGTGGTCAA